TTTTTCAACGTTTATTTATTTTTGGGACAGAGAGAGACAGAGCATGAACGGGGGAGGGGCAGAGAGAGAGGGAGACACAGAATCAGAAACAGGCTCCAGGCTCTGAGCCACCAGCCCAGAGCCCGACGCGGGGCTCGAACCCACGGACCGCGAGATCGTGACCTGGCTGAAGTCGGACGCTTAACCGACTGCGCCACCCAGGCGCCCCTAACCTTTGCTCCTTTAATAACTGAGAGAAGGAGCAGGGAGGGAGCGGAAGGTGGAAGAAGGGTTCCCACTGAGCAGATGAGGAACACTGAGGCCCCGGGAAGGGAGAAGTGTCTCCTCAGGGAAGAAGGAAGTCTTCATCAGAGCCTGGAGCTGCCCTCAGGCTTTAGGACAGCCAGACCGGGCGCCTTTCACCACCCCTCAACACCACTGTTGCAGGATTTTTTGCCACAATACCCGGGGTTTATTGTCTCGCAGCTTCGAAGAGTGAAGAGGTGGACACATAATGAGCAGCAGGCAAAAGTTTACTGGAGTATAAGATGAGAAAGTAAGAATAGTACGAAAGTGCTCTTTGCAGAGGGGACCTTTGAAAGTGAACGCCCAAGGACCATAGGCAAGGGTCCTTGTTTTCTAAGGTTCTGGTCGCCCTCCCCGCCCTTCCGCCTTGTTCCTTCTCAGGTTATTGGCTGGACAACTCTAGGTGCTGGGTTGTCCACTCCTGATTGGCTCGTTTCCATTGTAAGAGGGGTGGTCTATGGCCCCACCGTTCCTTGCGGGTTGTAAGATTTTAGGGTCTGATATTTAGTCGGGTCTTTTGTCAAATTCCTGAGAGAGTAGGTAGTGTCTGTTAACATTCTTAAAAGGAGCCTTACCCCTGGAGGGGGGGGGTTTGCTGTGGTCAGACACTCCCAGCATTGTGCCAAAATATGTCTCTCCCCACCCAGGGACCTCAGGTCCTAATCCTTTCCCTCTCTGCCTGTTTTATCCTATTTTTTTCCAATCATACTGTTGACAGGCAGACCTCAAGGGGGGACCGAGGAGCTGGTTCCCCTGTGACCTGAGCACGGCTCTTATTCAGTTTCAGAAGTGACTTGCAGTGGATCCTCTTCTGTGCCGACCTGCCCTCCCTCATCCAGGAAGGCCCTCAGTACGTGCCCTGATCTGGGGCCCCAACCCCTGTCTGCCTTTGCTGTGCTTCCAGAGAACCTATCTGTAGGGTGGGGGGCGTGGGTTCATCCCAGCCCGCATGAGGCAAGGAGGAGGGGTGGGAAAGGAGGAACTTGAGGGGGCGGGGGTCCAGGGCGCATGCGGAGTAAACTGCTGGAATGGATGAGCAAGTAAGCAAGCGAACGGTCTTCATCTCTGACTCCGCTTCTTCTGCACCTCCTCCTCCTGAAAGCCCAGGTGACTTTCCCCACCCTCCCATTGTCCCTGCAGCCCTCCAGCCCCGGCCACAGGCCATGGTCTCCCTCTCCCCCAGGAAGAGGGAAGTGAGGTCTCCCCACCGGGCCTGGGAGAAGGAGGGAAACTCGCAGTGCAGTAGACCTGTTCCCCACACTCCAGCTTCCGGGACAGAGAGGGCCCAGTAAAGACCCGACTTAGGGGTTCAGGGACTGGGCTTGTCTCTCTCCAGGTGCGGGCTGGTGGCCTTGTGGATGGCAGGCACGCTCCTGGCACCGCCCAGCGGCATCCCCCTGGAGAGACTTGTGCAGATGGCTGTGGACAGAGGCTACACAGCCCAGGGAGAGATGTTCTCCGGTGAGTTGGGTGCAGAAGGGTCGCAAGCCACGCATGTAAGGAGACCCCATTCCATTCTTCAGGCCCTTCTCCCCACCCAGTAGAGTGTTATGAGTTGGGCTCTGGAGACGGGATGTCTTCATTCCCCCGCCCAGTTCTGCCACCTCCTGCCAAGTGGCTGTGGACACGCAGCTTGCCGTCTCTGTGCCTCATTTTCTGCATTTGTACAAAGAGGTGGCGGTTGTGGTGACAATTAAAGGCGCCGATCCTCAGTTAGCCCGTGGCTTGGAGCCAGGCACATGGTGATCCTTCTGTCTGTGTCGTCCTGCAGTGGCCAACATGGGCAAGCTGGCCCAGGAGGCACTGGGCTGCCAGGCTGAGCTGCTCTGCAGTGGCCTGGGTGGTCCCAACAGAGACCGTGTCCTGCGGCACCTCGTCTCCGGACATCCCTTGCTCATCCCGTATCCCAGGGCCTAGAAGGGAGCTGGGTGGGGATGGGGAAGGGTCGTTCCCAGGACCACACCGCAGCTTTGGCCTTAACCCCAGTGGCAGCTACGACGAGGACTTCAACCACGAGCCATGTCAGAGGAAGGGCTACAAGGCCCACTGGGCAGTGAGCACAGGTGGGTCTTCCCTCCCGCGTCCCTGGATGTCCCGAGTCCCCGTCACCCCTACATTCTCACCCTTATGCTGGCATTTCACTCATACTTGAGGCAGGGACTGGGGCTGGGCTGTCCCTGTCCCAGCAGGGTACTCAGCAGGGACCTGGCAGGGAGGAGGTGACTCAGTATCTGCCAGTCACCGTTTCTGTAAACAGAAGCTCAGAGCATTGACTTCAGAATCAAACAGGACTCCAGGTCTGGCCCAGCCACTTCCAGGCTCTGTGACTCTGGGCTTCCATTTCTCCGTCTGGAAATCAGGATGACAGTGGGCAAAGTACGTAAAATCTGAACGACGCAGGCACATTGCTCGTGTCAGTAAACAGCGATCGGCCTGGTCATTCCCAGCTGCCTACAAGAAGGCTGATTCGCACGTTAGGTGGCCTGGATTGAGGCTCCCCCCATGCCGGGGTCTGTGGCCTCGAGGGCCCCACTGAGCATTGTTTTTGGTTTTTGTTCTTTTCACTAGACAGCAGGAGAGGATCGGGTGATTGATGCTTGCTCTGTTTAATGCCACCTCCCCTCCCTGTGCTACCAGGCTGGAGGAGGCGGGACTTTAAAAAGCCTGGAGCCTGGAGCCAGATACCCTGGGTCAGTCCCAGCCCAGCTGTGTGCCCATGGCCCACTGACTTCTCTGTAATGTGGTGTGAGGGTGGTACCACACCTACCCTGAAGGGCTACGGTGGGGAGCTCACTCCAGGTCACAGCCTCTGCTCTCCTCCCAGGGGTCCTGCTGGGGACGCAGGCTGTGCCAGGCCTCGGCTATTCTGAGGACCCCGAGCTGCCAGGTCTGTTCCACCCGGTGCCCAGCACAGCCCGCCAGCCGCCATCCCTGCCAGAGGAAGGTTCCCCAGGAGCCGTCTACCTTCTCTCCAAGCAGGGCAAGAGTTGGCATTACCAGCTGTGGGACTACGACCGGGTCCGGGATAGCAACCTGCAGCTGACAGACTTCTCGCCCTCGCGGGCCGCTGATGGCCGGGCATACGTGGTGCCCGCTGGAGGGGTGCGGGCCGGCCTCTGTGGCCAGGCCCTGCTCCTCAGCCCGAAGGACTCCAGCTGCTAGCCTGCTGCATCCCTGAGCCAGGTGACAGGGCCCCCGGCCACAGCTCGGCTCTGTCACCATTTGAAGAGTGCCCCAGTGTCCTTTTTCCAACAGCCGTGGGAGTGGGCTCTGTTCCTGAGGACCTCCAGCCAGAGATCCTCCATGCAGAGGCCCCCTCCCGCTCCCCGTATGTCTCCTTCTCCCACACTCGCCCTCGGTAGTAAGCTCCTACTGTGTGGCTGGGGGCAAAGCCAGGAGCAGCTAGACAAGCTCCCTGTCCAGGAAAGACACTGACCACAGGTCAACCCGCAGGTCCCGTCTGTCCCACCTGAATGTTGCATCCAGCCATTTTTCACTGGTGACCATCCTCCTCTCTCTGGACTGGAGCCTCCTCACTAGACCCTTTGCTGCCCCCCAGTCTGTTCCCATGGAGCCTAGGAAGCCTTGCTTTTTAAAATGCAAACCAGGGGCGCCTGGGTGGCTCAGTCAGTTGAGCGTCTGACTTTAGCTCAGGTCATGATCTCACAGTTTGCGAGTTCAAGCCCTGCATCAGGCTCGGAGCCTGCTTGGGATTCTTTGTCTCCCTCTCTCTCTGCCCCTCCCCTGCTCATGCCCTGTCTCTGTCTCAAAAAGTAAATAAAAACATTAAAAAAATTTTTTAAATGCAAACCAGGTGGGGCGCCTGGGTGGCTCAGTCCATTGAATATTCCACTTCAGCTCAGCACTGTCATGATCTCACGGTGCGTGGGTTCAAGCCCCACATCGGGCTCTGTGCTGGATTCTGTGTGTGTGTCTCTCTCTCTCTGCTCCCTCCCTCTCTCAAAAATAAGTAAGCATTAAAATGCAGACCAGGTCTCAACACTTGCCTCCAGAGAAGCTTTCCAGCAGCAACTTGTTGCTCATGGGAGGGAGTCTCCCAGCCCCAGCTCATCTCTCCTGATCTCTGACTGTTCTTCCTCACACTTCAGGCCACTAGCCTTACTGGCCTTTCAGGTCCCTCGAGTGTCACTCGCCTGCCCCTGCCCCTCTGCTGAGGAGAACTCCATTCTCTATTTTGGCCTCTCTTTCTCAAGGAAGACTCCCTAGCCCCAGGCTAGGCCCCTCCCTGACCTTGGTGTTCTGATTGAGAAACTGGACTGTAAGTGCTAATTTATCAAATTCTTCAAGTTAGGAAGGTAGTAGATCCTCCCCCATTTTACAGATGAAGACACAGGGACCTGGAGAGGAGCAGCCACTGGCCTAAGGTCACATCCTGGCTCCCAAGCGGCAGCACCAGGATTCCAACCCCGCAGTCAGTGCCTAGAAGACGTGGAGAAAGGTTATTCACTGAATGAATACCTGTTGCCTCCACTCTGGAAGGGGAGGAACAGGTTTGCCTTGGTCACTCGTGTAGCCCAGTGCCCAGCAAAGGTGCGGTGTTTCTAATCAGGAGAGGGGTGTCCCCACCCTGGCCACTCTGCAGCAGCCCGGACACCCCGGTTGGCGCTGTCCAGTGCACTGTCCTGGGAGCCCCCTGAGGGCACAGCCTGGAGCTGTCTTGGTCACTAGTATGTCCCCCACATTGTCCGACACAGAGCCAGGCGCCTGAGTAGCAGCTTGGTAAATGCTGAATGAGTGAACCAGCCTGCTCTGCGCCCGAATCTCTCCTGAACGGGTCATCACCCCATTACCCCGCCCAGCGCTAATGGTGAAATTATGAGCTTTGAGCCCACACGCCCCAGATGCGAAAGAAAAAATCCACAAAGTTGACGTTGAACGTGATTTATCGGGGCGTTGTCACAGGGGGAAAGCACATGAAGCGATTTTGCCTCCTGTTCCCCAGCGCTGCCCCAGCTAAGACTACCTCTCGTATAAATAAGTATAAAGACAGTTTGTAGAAAAAGGAGCACGCCGCCTCAGGCCTGGAAGACACATTAGAGCTTCAGCTTGGGGAAGAGGGAGGTGCCTGGTTCCCAGCCTCCTAGACTAGGAAGGCCAAGGTATGGGTGCAGGAGGAGGGGGACGGAGGGGCATCACCCACACCTGAGAAGGTGCTGGCGTCTTTGGTTTGGGCCAGGCGGCAAGCCCTCGGTCACAGCCACCTACCCTGCATCTCTAGAGGAAGGCAGCTCTGATTCCCAAGCCTCCTCTTCTAGGTCTGAAAGCCCTTCTTGCCACCAGTTGGCTAGGAGCAAGGGAAAGGGGGTCAGGGGTGGGAGGAGGGGGTCCCAAGGCTGAGGCTGGTGCCCGAGGAACGAGGCTGTGCTAGTCAGTGCTGGCACAGGACGTGGCTGTGGCCTGGGTCAGCAGAGTTCTCTCAGGAGTGGGGAGGATCCCATGGGGTCAGGGGAGGGCAGGACAGAGAGAACTGGGTCCCCGCCCAACAGCAGCAGCTCTCAGACCTTGTGGTGTCACACCCTCCTGAACCTCTGTCAGCGCTGGAATGGCCCCAGACGAACAGATGGGGTTGTGACTCTCCCAGGCAGACAGGTGGCTCCTGCATTTGTTCACAGGTGAGGTCTGGTTGCCCCAGGCGCCAGAGAGGAAATTCACCCTTCCCAGGCCTCCGGGAGCCAGCCTGCAGCCGGGAGAGGACTGACAAGGAGACGGTGATTACAGTCATCCCTATGGCAAGAGGCACATCACCCCTCAGAAGCCTTCCTGGCTGGTCAGAGGGCCCAGTCTGGTTCTGATACAAGGTGGGATGCAGCCATGGCACGTCCCCTCTCCAGTCTTCAAAACCTCTGTATCATGAAAGGGGCGGGCGCTGCCTGGGCGCCAGGGCCCTCCGGGCCTTCCACTCATGTCTTGCGTGGTGAACAATGCAACCTCTCCTAACCCCAAGGTCAACCCCCACGGCCAATCTCGGGGCACCGCCAGCCAGATGGGCACCATCCAGTAAGTCAACCCGGCAGTGGGCAAGTGGGTCAACCCTGGGCCAGCCCCTGAAGGAGGCGGATCAGGTTGTCCAGACCCCAGAGGTACCCATCCTCACGGTTGCCCTCAGCCCAGGGCAGTCGGTGGCTGAGCGTCTGGTGGTCAGGCAGGGCTACCGTCTTGCCAAAGTCAATCATCCAGACCCTGGCCAGGCCAGTGTGGTCATGCACGAAGAGGAGGGAGCTGCCCACCACCTGCAGCGACAGAGGAGGGAGGTTAGGGGGAGGGGCAGGCACTGGCTTGGGCCCCCTCCCCAACAGGCAGCTGAGCAGGGTGCTGAACTCTGGAGCCTGAACTCAGGCTGTCTGTGTTCAAATCCTGGCTCGGCCACTTAACTGGCTCGGTGGCCTTGGGCAGGTGACTTAACCTGTCTGTACTTCCGCTTGCTCACATACAAAGTGGGAATAAGGGAATAACCGTACCATTTACTCAAAGGCTGCCCTGCACGTTACATGTGGGAATTCATCCGTATAAGCTCTTAGAACAGTTGCCAGTATAGCAAACAGACGACAATGTTAACCATTACCCTTTTCCAAGCTGGGGTACAAACACCTGCAGAATCTTGCACGGGAGAAGCGGATAATGTCTTCCCCTTGGAGAACTGCTCAGACCCAGCAGAGGGCTGCTGGTGACCCTAGGGCACGGGGCTTCCATTCTCTAGACCTCAGTTTCCCCATCTGTCGAATGGTGATGCTAAGGTCATTGCAGCATTCCATGAAGCACTTTGCAGCGCTCGACACACTGCCCTCGGTAGATGCTGGTTTGGGGTTTTTTTGGGTTTTTTTGGCTTTGTTTTTTAGAAACAGTACTTTCGTTGCCTCCATGTGACTCCAGGTGGGCAAGCCCCTCCCCTTTTCCAGTCGGGTTTCAAACTCCACTGCTCCCAGAGAACCCAGGTGACGGGGCAGGTGAGCAGGTGGCTGGCAGAGGAGGCAGCCTCCACCCCACTCTGGCCTGCTGGCATATGGTGAGCAGCCCGGTGCTGCCACGTCTCCCAAAGTGCCAGGTAAACCGGAAGTCTCATGTTTTAGATGTTGGCAGCTTATTTTTTAAAATGCTAAGTCACCAGGTGGGTGAAACCGAACATGAGCACATAAGGGATGAGGTCCCCAGGCCTCCTCTTTGTGACTTGTGTGTAAAGCCCAAGGGCAGTGATGAGGACGGCAACGAGGATGACATCTGATGATAATGAACATGACGGTAACAGCTGGCACATGCCGAGGGTTTACTGTGGGCCATGCTCCCATGTATATAAACCTGCTTCGTCCTCCCCACGCCCACGGGGCAGGTGCTCTGTTAGCCCGTCCTGCCTGTCAAGGACACGGGTCTGCAGAAACACTCCCAGGCGCAGGTGGCTGAGGTGTGTAGAGCAGGATTCGAACCCAGGCAGCCCGACTCCCAGATCAAGGATCTTTCAGGAGTCGCCAGGAAAAAGAAGTGAGGGGGACCTGACAGGGGAGGTGGAAGAGCTTGGAGAGAGGAGGGAGAGGGAAAGGACACACGCTGCGACATCCCCACCTCATAGACCTGCTGAGACGGCCCCAGACTTCCAGAGACACGCAGGCTGCAGAAGGGAGGGAGGG